AAGGATCCTACTATTTAGGGTGCTGTCTTAGGGTCCCCTATTTTCGGAAACCCCCGCGTGGTAATCTTGGGGTTTCAGCACCTCTACGTGGTACTCTGGCAGTTTTGAGGTTTGTAGGGTGAGGGTTTAGAGGTTGGGGGTTTAGGGCTCAGGGCTAGGTACTTGCAGGGCGGGGGATTTAGTAAGTAGTAGAGTTGTCAGTACCCTAAAAGGGTCCTGTTTGGGGTCATGATGACTATTTCTGAACCTCTGTAGAATAACATAGGTGATAAGCCGAGTTATGAGTACACCCTTTAATTCAAAGGTGAGGTTATGATGCCTATAACTCTAACTCCTAACTCTGTGAAACTCACTACCTAAACACTAAACTCTAAACCCAAACCCCTAAACCCTGAAGGTAGGCCATAAGCCTGCCCAAAATGGGCTTGGGAGACGCATCGCTGCAGACACCAAAAGGGCTCAAACAACAAAAACAGAAACTAAAGTCCGACCCTCCAAGTCTAGAACATTTTCAGGTGGGTAGTTAGCGTTATAGAAGCCTTATAGAAGGCCTATACACCCTAAACTCCCCACCTGTAGTTTCCTTCAATAAAGTCCCCCGGCCCTCCAAGTACCAACCCTAAACCCTAAACCCCTAAACCCCTAAACCCGAAATTTTAACCCCGGAATCCTTCACCTTCCTGAAGCTCCAAACACGTAAGGTTTAGGGTTAGGGTTTAAGCTTTATAGGATTTAGGGTTTAGAGTTTAGGGTTTATAAGTTTTTCAGGATTCAGGGTTTAGGGATTAGGGTTTAAGCTTTATAGGATTTAGGGTTAGGGTTTAAGCTTTATAGGGCTTGGGTTTATGGTTGAGGGTTTATAAGCTTTATCGGATTTAGGGTTAGGGTTTTAAGCTTTATCGGATTTAGGGTTTAGGGTTTGGGTTTAAGCTTTAGCTGATTTAGGGTTTAGGGTTAGGGTTCAAGCTTTATCGGATTTGGGTTTAAGGTTTAGGGTATAGGGCGGTGCCTACTTGAGGTGTAAAGTCGATAAGTCGTATCTGTTTTTGGGCGACAGTTTGAGTGGTTCTCTAAATGAGGGTCCTTTTTTAGGCTCCTGATTAGTAGGATGGCGCGGGTCCAAAAGGGGACCCTGATTTCGACACTACCCGTTTCTGGACCTTAACCTCACGGCGACGAGCTGCGATTTAGGGTTTCGCCTCAGCCAGAAAACCCCAAAACCTAAGTCTTATGTTCGAAGCCGCAGAACCGCTACTTGTACTATAACAGCGTAAACAAGTACAGGCTTATTTTACTGTAAAGGAGCCCGAAACCCTATCCTAATTATTAAGGCCCCTACATCAAGCCTTAAACCCTAAAGCCCTAAACCCTAAACCCTAAATTAAAGCCCTAAGCCCTAAAGCCCTAAACCCTAAACCCTAAATTAAAGCCCTAAACCCTAAAGCCCTAAACCCTAAACTTTGGATGTCTCTGGCAAGGGCGGAAACTGGAGTTTTTGGGACCTCTCCCGGTTGCGCAGAAGATCGGAGCACTCCTCAGTGAGGGCCCCGAAGTGGCGGTTTTCCGGGGGTTTAGGGTTTAGGGTTTAGGGGTTTAGGGTTTAGGGGTTTAGGGGTTTAGGGTTTAGGGTGTAGGGTCCTTAAAAGTATGATTATGATTATGTGTATCACTTTATGATTCTCAGTACTGATATTTATTCATACTATTAGTGTAGTTTCTGTAACTGTAGGGTGTGAAGAGAGCGGTTCCCATATGTTCAGAACCCTCCGTTGTGTTATGGTTCTGATGACGTTTCTTCTGCTCCATCAGGGCTTGTTTCTTTCTACTCCACAAGGGCGTCGTGAGAGTGGGGGTTTGGGGATTGAGGATTTAGGGCTTGAACGAAGGAGGGTGGGGCCAGTTTGCGGCTAGGGTTCAAAAGGAGTTGCTTCAGGGTCTCGAAAAGCGCTCTACAATGGTTTTGCGATTCCCATACAAACCGTAAACCCCGAGGTTTAGGGCACGGCTTTAATGCTGAACTCCAAACCTTAGCCCTAAACCCTAAAC